CGCCCGGCCTCCGTAGGAAGTGGAGTTCTTGTCCACGTCCATCGCGCAGCTCAAGGTGGTACAGACCAAGTACGTGGAAGCCAAGGACTGTCTGAACGTGCTGAACAAGAGCAACGAGGGTAGGGGCAGGGGGTGAAGGCAGCCTGGGGCGGAGTAGCGAGCCGGCTTCTCCCGTCCCACTCCTAACCCGGTCTTCCCCAAGACAGCGATCCCATACGTATCGAGCGCCGCTCCATCAGCCTTTGCATGTTGCCTATGGAGAGGTGAAATGTGCAGGCCCTTCCCCTGCTCCTGCCGCCTGTTTGCGCTCCCGTCGCACTGGGGGCGCTGTGCCCTGGTGGAGCTCCCTGTAATGTCTTCGCGTGGGAGCGGCCACCCTTCCCCGGGTGTTTACGTTAATTGCTTTCACAGGGAAAGAATTGCTCGTCCCATTGACGAGTTCTGTATCCTTTCCGCAGGAACCGCTACCCCGCTTTCTCCCTCACCCTTTACTCTGATTATTCTAGAGCCCCTCCCCTTGATTTCGAGAACTCTTACACACACTTCATCGCTCTCTATACCTCGTGAATACCAAAGTGTGAAGAGTTGAAGTGTGATGTTTCCCTTTGCTGTTTGAGGATATTCGTCTAGACTGGAGATGAACCTGGGGACTTACACTTGTGCTAGTACCTTAGAAGACAAGCAATAGGAGAATAGAAGGTATACAAACGGAGAAGTTGACTGTATTTATTAATCTTCAATTTCAAGGCTGGGTGTAGTGGCGCACGCCTGTAATCCCAGCACTCAGGAGGCTGAGGCAAGAGGATTGTTGCAAGTTCAAGACCAGCCTGGGCTACAAAGGCCAGCCTGAACTGCTTAGCAAGACCTTGCCTCAAAAAGACAAAACAAACAAACAAAAAACTGAGAGGCCAGCCAGGCATGGTGGCACATGCTTGTAATCCCAGCACTTTGGGAGGCTGAGGCAGGAGGATCTCAAGTTCAAGTCCCACCTGGACAATTTAGCAAGATTCTGTCTCAAAATTTAAAAAGGGCTTGGGGATATAGCTTTGTGCAAAGCCATGGGTTCAATCTCTAATACCTCAAAAACAAAACAAAAGTGAGAAGCTAAAGAGCAACCGAAGTGGCAGTGTAGTGGAGAATGGTTAAGTAAACATTAAACCTTTCAAGAATTACTACTTCATGGCTGAGGAGAGATGGGCTGGTTTTTCACCTACACTGTTCCAGAGCAGTAAGTAAACATTGTATCTAGTCTTTTTGGATGGGGCTAATTACAAGAACTGCTTGAACATAAGAGATGGGATCATGACAAGGGTGCTCCAGCATGTATCGTGTTCTGCATAAGGAACCAACTTCTCTGTCTTTTTTTTTTTTTTTTTTGGTTTTTCTCTGGTACCGGGAACCGAACTCATGACCTTGCACTTGCCAGGCAGGCGCTTTGCCGCTGAGCTAAATCCCCAGCCCCACTTCTCTGTCTTTCACCATTTGGAGTTATGGTTTTAAGGCCTCTGGATTATTTAATCCTCATATCTTGTGCCTTTGAGAAAGGGAGGGTCCTTTAGGGCTGTCAGACTGTCTGACAGGGATTCATGGCTCGTGCTGGGCTAGTTTTTCCCTTAATCCTTGCTTCTCAGATGTATGTCCCTGGGAAGCTCCATGATGTGGAACACGTGCTCATCGATGTGGGAACTGGCTACTATGTGGAGAAGGTGAGTGGAAGAAAGCGTGTGGCTGTCTCTCTGAGTAGGGAAAGGAAGCTTAAGGGCAATCTGCAGGCTAGGACAGCTCTCCTTCTACCTCTTCATTCACTTCTGGTCTTGCAGACAGCCGAGGATGCCAAGGACTTCTTCAAGAGGAAGATAGACTTCCTCACCAAGCAGATGGAGAAAATCCAGCCAGCCCTCCAGGAGAAGCATGCCATGAAACAAGGTGAGCTCTGCCCAGCACCTCTTGATCCTTTCTACCTGTACTGTAAAGAGCATAGGTTGTCACTGAAACCTTGAGGTCGGCCCCTTTGCTGGATTAACGTGTTCCTGTCGGCTTGAGCCACCAGTCATGGGGGCATATGACTGTCCTGCTTCTACCACCAGTGGTACAAGCTGCCTCTTGGGATAGTCACACACGAACCATCTGTGAGACACGAATTACATCCCCGTTGTGAACTTGTTAAAACCGTGTGTTTTTCTTTGGTATCTTGGTATCTTATTCCCTAGAGTCTGCGTTACGTACCCATGATTCGTAGATTCCTAGGTTAAGTGTTTCAGAAACTTTGGAGGAAGGAAGTCAGGGCTGTGTTTTGTGAAGCTTCTGTTTATTTAACAAGGATAGGATGGGGCATGAGATACACATAAACACAGGAAGGAAACATAATCTTAACTAAATAAGTCCTAGATTACATTACAACCCTGGTTGCACATTGGAATCCTTCAGGAAGTTAAAAAGAAAGATCCAGACTTACTGAGTCAGCTTGGAAGTAGGGATAGGTGGAGTGGTCCCTGGGGTTAGTGTTTTTTTTTTAAAGGTCATTAGGTTGGGCTACAAAGTGAGCTCAAGGCCAGCCTGAACCGCATAGTGAGACCCTGTCTCAAAAAGACAAAAAAATTTAAAAAATAAAATAAAAGAGGTCATTAGATATCAGGCATAGTGGTGCACACCTATAATCCCAACAATTTGTGAGACTGAGACAGGAAGATCACAAGTTCAAGGGAAGCCTGGGGCACCTAGTGAGATCCTGTCTCAAAGTTTTAATAAAAATAAAAAATTAAATGAGTAGATAAATAAAGACTAGGTATACTGCTCTGTGATCAAGCACTTGTCCACTGTATATGAGGTCCTGAGTTCCTGAGTTCAGCCCCAATACTCCCCCTGCCAAAAAAAAATCCACCTGGTGATTATTAGACAAGATGGAAGACTATTTAAAGGGGAAAAAAAAATTGGGGGTGAGTGTGGGGGTGGAACCCAGGTTCCTACGACTATTAGGCAGGTGCTGTATTATTGAGCTGCAAGCCCAGCCCACAGACATCTCCACATTACTATTTTTTATCTCTGACTGATTTAATATGATACATTTTTGTTTCTCAGTGGCTAGCACATTGACTGGATACATTGTAGACTCTAAATGTGTTAGTGTGTATCCCCCCAGTGAGTCACTTTTTAAAAACGTTTAATCAACAATCAGAATTGGTTATCCACCTGCCACTTTTCCTTAACTCTAGGTCCTCTCCCCGAGCTCCTGACCAGGGTGTAATTCTTCCTTTCCCCCACAGCTGTCATGGAAATGATGAGCCAGAAGATTCAGCAACTCACGGCCCTGGGGGCAGCTCAGGCCACTGCCAAAGCCTGAGAGTATGCTGTAGAAATGAAGCAGAGGGTGGCGCACGCCTGTAATCCCAGGACTCGGGAGGCTAAGGCAGGAGGATCGCTGTGAGTTCGAGGCCAGCCCGAACTGTATGGCGAGACCCTGTCTCCAAAAAAAGAGAAGAAATGGGGCAGAGGGACCCTATATGGGTCTGGAACTTTGTGACCGTGGCCTCCTGGTATCCCGAAGGGAAGGGTTTTGTGTTTAATGCTAATAAATGTGCCTGCTGGGCAGAATGTGGGTCTCTTCTTGCATTAAGCAAGGGACTGTGATGAGATGTGGGTGTGTGGAAAGGGTGCGCCCCTGCTGAGAGCCAGATAGGCAGGGACAACCCCTTGGTCCTTGGAGGCCCCAGTCCCCAGCTACCGAGAAACTGGAGGAAAGCTGATTGAAGCAATTGCGCCCTTGGTGGCTGGTTGCCACGGGAACCATAGGAAAGCGGAAGTTGAAGCACGCGCGGGTACTTCCGCTTCCGGGTCGGCGCTTGTGTGTCGGGGGTGGGGGTGGTGCACAGGGGTAGTGCGCATGGGACAGCGCTTCCTCCGCAGTCTCCTGGTGCTGCTACTGCCTCGGTCACCGCTCGCAACCCAGCACTGCATGCTCAGCCCAGAGTCCGTCCAGCCTCCGAAAAGGCCCCGTAGCAACCTCATGGCACCGCCCCGAATCGGGACGCACAACGGCACCTTCCACTGCGACGAGGCGCTGGCGTGCGCCTTGCTTCGCCTCCTGCCGGAGTACCAGGTACTGCCACCCTGGGACAGCCTGCGTCCCAGCTGGGTCCCTGTGGTAGCTCCGGCAGCCTCGGCGCCGCGCCAGGTTCGCTGGAAACCCGACATTAACCCTGTACCCGTGCGACCCCGGCCTAGCAGCTCCTTTACCCCGTGTACTTTGCAGGATGCCGAGATCGTGCGGACTCGGGACCCGGAAAAACTGGCCTCGTGCGACATCGTAGTGGACGTGGGGGGCGAGTACGACCCTCGGAGACACCGATATGACCATCACCAGAGGTGAGTTCTCCATCCCAGTTCTTCGACTTTAACTTTGTTCTGTGCTCCAGTTCAGCCTTCAGATGTCGGGGTCCTAGTCAGCGAAGCAAACAGCAAAGGAAATCAGATTCTTGAGGCCCACTGCAACTGCAGCCTTTCGTCCGCTGTCCGCTCTTCAGGGTCTTCTTCCGGCCTCGGACCTCCCTTGGCTTCCGGTTGGTCCCCCAGGTCCCTCCCGACTCACCTCCTCCTCTGCCTTCCACGGCTTAAGTCAGGGTTTCCTCCACCAACTGTCATCACCCCAACTAATAACCCATCTTGGATTCACTCATTCATTTATCTTCGCAGCCCCATCTTAGATCGCTGGCATAATTGTGTCAGCTGAGGACAGTTCAGGTGTTTTCATTTTTTGTTTCATCCTGTGCCAGGGACTGAACTGAGGGCCTTCACGGCATGCGCCACCACACCCAACACTACCTCTACTTCTGTAAATTATGTTGGAAAGAATCCCTAATCTCTCACCCTCGCTTGTCACCTACTCCTCAAAAAAATGGCTTAAGTTGGGTGTGGTGGGCCTGTGAGTCCAGCCCTGAGGAGGCTGAGGCAGGAGGAGTGCCATGCGTTTAAGGCCAGACTGGGCTACATAGTGAGACCCTGTCTCAAAAAATAAAAATAACTGTCCCTGGCTCCACCTTTTTCTTCCTGCCTGTTCCCCTGTAGCACACTCTCTCCCAGTCTCTTCATTGGCACTGCCTGATGAAAGGGTACTAATGACCTCAGGACCAAACCAGGGGGCCAGCAAACAGGGTCTTACATGAGCTGACCTTTTGTGGTACTTGGTATTTGTTTGTTTGTTTCCGGTACGGGAACTGAACTCACGACCTTGCGCTTGCCAGGCAGGTACTGTGCTGCTGAGCAGAATCCCCAGCCCCTGTGGTACTTGGTGTTAATGACCAATTCCTTTTTTCAAGTGGCTTTGTTTACAGCCATTTAGAAAGTACTTGATACATAAAACAATATAATTTTTCCGAATATCAAACATGAGATAAATATCCATGAACAAGTCTCTCTGCCCAAGAGCTAGAATACCATCATTACCTTTAATTCCTATTCCTATGTGCTTCTTGCCTATCCCATTTTTCCCAGAATAAAGCAATATTCTAATTTTTTTGTTTGCTTTTGTTCCGAGACAGGGTCTCACTATATAATGCAGACTGGCCTTGAACTCGCTTATGTAGCCCAGGCTGGCCTTGAACTCACAGCAGTCCTTGTGCCTCAGCTTCCCAAGTGATGCTGGGATTACAGGCATCTGCATGTTTGTTTGTTTTTTGAGACAGGGTCTTGCTGTGTAGTCCAGGCTAGCCTCTGAACTTACAGCAGTCCTCCTGCTGTCAGCCTCATGAGTGCTGGGATCATAAGCATGCACCACCATACCCAACTAATGTCCTAAATTTTTAGTAGTGCATGTGGTGCTTGCTTGTAATCCAGCACTTAGGAGGCTAAAGCAAGACTACTGGAAGTTCCAGGCCAGCCTGAGCTACTACATAACAAGCCCCCCCCACCAAAAACAAACAAACCAGAAAACATAAAACTATGCTTTTGCGGCGGGGGGGAGGGGTACCAGGAATCAAATTCACAAGCTTGGGCTTGCCTGCCAAGCAGGCACTGTGCCGCTGAGCGATATCCCTGGCCCCATACTTGTTTTTATGTATAGTTTCGCACAGATCTCTTTTCATCAACAGTATATTCATTTCGTTTCTTTTGCAACTTTACCTAAGGGATTGTTTTTATCATTTGTCTTTATACCTTGTGAATATACTTTTTGTATGAGTATGATTTTTTATTTATCCAGTATTTAATAAAGTCATAAAACTAAAATTGAACTCCTTAAGTGATCTGAGGTGGACTGGTATTTGGAAGTCACAGCTGAAGGGGGCTGAGGTGTCGCTCAGAGGGAGAATATAAGCTAACAGACAGACAACCCTGGATCCTATCCCTAACCCTTTCCTAGTTAGCATCCCCGCTGTAATGTCTACTTCCCTGAGGTGTCCTGACTTTTCCCCAGTCTATCCCACTGCTATTCAAATTCCTGCCTTACTCACCTGGACCACTGCAGGCAAACTCCTTTCTTCTGTTGCCCAGGTTGGCTAGTGCTGTTCTTTCTACTGTGCACTCAAGATTCTCCACTACCTACAGACGGAGCCCAGACTCAAGGACACGGCATACAAAGCTTCCCATAGGCTGGCCTCTTCCTTCCCTTCCCAGCTTTATCTTTTGCCACTTAGACCTCTGGTAATCAGACCCAGGGCCTCGAGCATGCTAGATAAGCACTTTACCACTAAGCTATACCCCCAGCCCCAGAAGCTGCCTTTCTTACAGTTCCATGAATGAATTCATCTTTCTGGACTGACTGACCTGAGGCTTTCTGTTCAACCCTTTCTTCATTCCCTCTTTTTCTTGCTAGAATCTAGCCAGAGTATGGTATCTATGGGTCCCACCTCCATGGACTCAAACAACCATGCATTAGAAAGTTTGTTAGCCGGGCAGAGTGGTGCACGCACTCGGGAGGCTGAGGCAGGAGGATCGTTGCAAGTTTGAGGCCAGCCTGGGCTACAAAGTGAGCTCAAGGCCAGCCTGAACTGCATAGTGAGACCCTGTCTCAAAAAGACAAAAAAAAAAGTTCTTTTTAAAAACTGACCCTGTATTGAATACATAGATGTTTTTGTCATTATTCCCTAAATAGGATGTAGTGTGGCAACTGTTTACATACCATTTACATTGGTTTAAGTATTATAAGTAATTGAGATTCGCTTGTTTGTTTGTTTTTGGTCCTGGGAATCAAACTCAGGACCTTGTGCTTACCAGGCAGGTGTTTGTGCCACTGAACTATATCCTCAGCTCTGTGTTACAAGTAATTGAGAAATGGTTTAAGTGTATAGGAGGTTGTCCATAGTAAAAACCCCATCCCTAGACACTGCTATCTGCTAAAGGGGGACTGTACTTGCTGGGTTGGTTGGTTGTCTGCCTCTAGCAGATGAATTAGAAGGGCAGAGATAGGGTCTGTTTTTCTTCTCCTTAGTGTCTGAACATAAAACTGAACATACATAACCAGCCACTGAACTTTAACTATTGTTAGCTGAATGGATGAATGGAGACACCAAGTCACAGTCTATGTTGACCCCTGAGAAGAAAACAAAGCCTTTCCGGTCCCAGCTCTGGCAGTCTTCCTTATCCCCTGCCCCACCCATGTCTGCGCGCACACTCTGGATTACCTGGGTCTGCTCCTTCACCTCAGTCCTGCCTCCCTGTGCTCCTCAGGTCTTTCACAGAGACCATGAGTTCCCTGTCCCCTGGGAAGCCGTGGCAGACCAAGCTGAGCAGTGCAGGACTCATCTACCTGCACTTTGGCCACAAGCTGCTGGCCCAGTTGCTGGGCACTAGCGAAGAGGACAGCGTGGTGGGAACCCTCTTTGACAAGGTGGGGACCTGAGGACAGACACACACACACATCCATCTCCAGGAGGCCAGCTGGGGGTGGCACCCAAGCAGCTCTGGATGGGGCCTCAGGTCAGGGTTCCTGGGCCATAGAGGGCCCAACAGTCTCTTCCCTATCAGGCTCCTCTGCCAAGGAGATGGTGATCTCTTCCCACCTACATCTGGGCGGGTATGAGCAGTGGATTATATAATATATGGGAACGAGCTCTCAGTCTGGTTTGGTTTTGTTATTGTCTTGCTCTCTTCCCTAGGCTGAGCTCAGGCTTCCAGCTTAAGTGAACCTCCCACATCAGCCTCTCAGGTGCTGGGACTGTCCGCATGTGTCACTCACTGCACCTTTCTGGGAAAGGGTTTGGAAAACCATAAAGCACTTCGTAGGAACTGAACTCAGGACCCTGCGCTTGCCAAGCAGGCACCTATGCCACTGAGCTATATCGCTGGCTTGCACTTTATAGTCTTAACACACATTAAAAGCAGTTATTTAGTACCTTTCTGGTAACAGGAGTGCTTATACTTGGCAGTACTAGGCTCAGAGGTTCTTGCTGCCTTAAAGGGTGAAGAGAATAGATCATAGGTACCAATAAGACACAGGAGTGGGGAAGCACAGTTGGGAAGGGACAGGTTATGAAACATGATGTTCTAACAGCGTCCTCTGCAAGCAGCTTCCTATTGCGGAAAGAACAGAGCTGGTGGCCCTGCAGTGTCAGGCCAGTAATACTTGAGGGCACCTACGTGACCTTCTGAGGTTCACA